TTTTTTTTTTTTTTGAGACGGAGTTTCGCTCTTGTTACCCAGGCTGGGGTGCAATGGCACGATCTTGGCTCACCGCAACCTCCGCCTCCTGGGTTCAGGCAATTCTCCTGCCTCAACCTCCTGAGTAGCTGGGATTACAGGCATGCGCCACCATGCCCAGATAATGTTTTGTATTTTTAGTAGAGACGGGGTTTCACCATGTTGACCAGGATGGTCTTGATCTCTTGACCTTGTGATCCACCCGCCTCGGCCTCCCAAAGTGCTGGGATTACAGGCTTGAGCCACCGCGCCCGGCTTGAAACCCCATTTCTACTAAAAATACAAAAAATTAGCTGGGCGTGGTGGCGAGTGCCTGTAATCCCACCTACCTGGGAGGCTGAGGCAGGAGAATCACTGGAATCCGGGAAGCGGAGGTTGCAGTGAGCCGAGATCATGCCATTGCACTCCAGCCTGGGCAACAAGAGCAAAACTCCCTCTCACACACAGACACGAAAATAAGAAAAGAAAAGAAAAAGAAAAAGAAAAAAGAATTAAAACTTATTATTTCTTGGCTGGGCACGGTGGCTCATACCTGTAATCCCAGCTAATCCCAGCACTTTGGGAGGCCAAGGCGGGCAGATCACTTGAGGTCAGGGATTTGAGATCAGCCTGGTCAACATTGTGAAACCCTGTCTCTACTAAAAATGCAAAAATAAATTAACTGGGCTGGCATGCGTCTGTAATCCCAGGTACTCAGGAATCTGAGGCATGAGAATCTCTTGAACCGAGGAGGTGGAGGTAGCAGTGAGCTAAGTTCATGCCACTACACTCCAGCCTGGGCGACAGAGCGAGACTCTGTCTACAAAAAAAAAAAAGTTAACTCTTATTAACTATTATTTCTAGCACTACAGATTTTCAGTATAATACTTTTGTCATTTTTTTTTTTTTTTTTTTTTGAGACAGGGTCTCACTCTGTTGTCCAGGCTGGAGTGCAGTGGCATAATCTTGGCTCACTGTAATCTGCTTCCTGAGCTCAAATGATCCTTCCACCTCAGCCTCCAGAGTAGCTGGGATTATACGCATACGCCAACAGGACTGACTAATTTTTAAATATTTTTACAGATGGGGGTCTCACTATGGTGCCCAGGCTGGTCTCAAACTCCTGGGTTCAAGCAATCCTCCTGCCTTAGTCTGCCAAAGTGCTGGGAATACAGGCATGAGCCAGTGTGCCTGGACTATTGCTGTTTATAACGTATTTATTGTTAAATGGCAGGCTCCCAGGGCGATGTGACATTTGCCAGGAGAGGAAGGCTGTTTGGCAAGAATCCTGACAGACAAAAGCTGGAGGAGGATGGAAAAGACGGCAGAATAAAAAGCTCCACTGATCATACCCCGCCCCCACAAGGACACCAGGTTAACAACTACCTGCATAGAAGAAACACCTTCATAAGAACCAAAAATCAGGTGAGCCGTCATGGTACCTGATTTTAATTTCATATTGCTAAAAGAGGCACGGAAGAGATTAAAAAACAGCCTAGAATTGCCTACGCCACCCCTTCCCACCCCCGGCAGCAATGGCGTGGTGGGGAGAACATCTCTGGGTGCTGGGGGAGGGAAAATCCAGCAATTGTGAGGCATTGAACTCAGTGCTGTCCTGTTAGAGCAGAAAGAAAACCCAGAGCAAACTCGGTTGATGCCTGCCCATGGAGGGAGCATTTAAAGTAGCCCTAGACAAAGGGGAATCACCAGTCTCAGCTGGAGACCTCAACACCCCATTTTCAGCATTAGACAGAACTTTCAGACAGAAAATCAACAAATAATCATCAAATTTAATCTGCACTGTAGACCAAATGGGTCTAATAGATATTTACAGAACATTTCATTTAAGAGCTGCAGAATACACATTATTTTCCTCAGCATGTGGATCATTCTCAAGGATAGACTATATTTTAGGTTACAAAACAAGTCTTAAAACATTCAAAAATTGAAATAATATTAAGCATCTTCTTTGACCACAATGGAATAAAACTAGACATTAATAACAAGAGGAATTTTGGAAACCATACAAATACATGGAAATTAAACAATATGCTCCTGAATGACCAGTGGATCAATGAAGAAGTTAAGAAGAAAATTGAAAAATATCTTGAAACAAATGATAATGGAAACACAACCTACCAAAACCTATGAGATACAGCAAAAGCAGTACTCAGAGGAAAGTTTATGGCTATAAGTGCCTACATCAAAAAAAGAGGAAAAACTTTAAATAAATAATCTAAGGATGCATCTTAAATGACTAGAAAAGCAAGAGCAAATTTAGTAGCAGAAAATTAGTAGCAGAAAAGAAATAATGAAGTTCGGAGCAGAAATAAATGATGTTGAGATGAAGCAAACAATACAAAAGATCAATGCAACAAAAAGTTGGTTTTTTGAAAAGTTAAAGAAAATTGGCAAACATTTAGCCAGAGTAACTAAGAAAAAAAGAGAGAAGATCCAAATAAACAAAATCAGAAATAAAAGAGGAGGTATTAAAACTGATACTACAGAAATTCAAAGGATCATTAGAGGCTACTGTGAGCAACTATATGCCAATACATTGGAAAATCTGGAAGAAATGGACAAATTCCTAGACACATGCAGCCTACCAAGATTGAATCAGGAAGAAATTCAAAACTTGAACAGCACAAAAGCAAGTAATGAGATCAAAGCTGTAATAAAAAGTCTCCCAGTAAAGAAAAGTCCAGGACCCGATGGCTTCACTGTTGAATTCTACCACACATTTAAAGAAGAACTCGCTGGGTGCAGTGGCTCACGCCTGTAATCCCAGCACTTTGGAAGGCCGAGGTGGGTGGATCATGAGATCAGGAGTTCGAGACCAGCCTGACCAACATGGTGAAATACAGTCTCTACTAAAAATACAAAAATTAGCTGGGTGTGGAGGCGCGCGCCTGTAATCCCATCTACTGAGGAGCCTGAGCAGGAGAATTGCCTAAACTCGGGAGGTGGAGGTTGCCGTGAGCTGAGATAGTGCCACTGCACTTCAGCCTGGGTGACAGAGTGAGACTCCATCTCAAAAATAAATAAACGATTCCAAAACACAGAGAATGAGAGAATACTTCCAATCTCATTCCAAAACACAGAGGATGAGAGAATACTTCCAATCTCATTCTATGAGACTGGCATTACTCTAATACCAAAACCAGACAACGACACATCAATAAAAGAAAACCACAGGCCAATATCTCTGATGAACATAGATGCAAAAATCTCAACAAAATACTAGTAAACTAAATTCAACAATATATTAAAAAGATCATTCATCAGGACCAACTGGGATTTATCCCTGGGATGCAAGGATAGCTCAACATACACAAGTCAATCAATGTGATACAGCCTGTTAACAGAATGAAGGAAAAAAATGTCCAGTTTCAGCTTGAAATAAAAACCTTTTATTTCGGTTGATGCTGAAAAAGCAATTGATAAAATTCAAAATTTACTCATGATAAAAACCCTCAAAATCAGGGGATAGAAAAAACATACCTTAATATAATAAAAGCCATATGTTATAGACCTACATCTAGTATTATACTGAATGGGGAAAAACTGAAAGCCTTTCCTCTAAGATCTGGAACATGGCAGGGATGCCCACCATCATCATTGTTATTTTGGAAGTTCTGGCTAGAGCAATCAGACAAGAGAAAGATACAAAGGGCATCCAATTTGGAAAGGAAACAGTTAAATTATCATTACTTGCTGATGATATGATCTTATATTTAGAATAAACTAGACTCCAAGAGAAAACTATTAAAACTGATAAAGTTATTAGAATTGTAGGATCCAAAATCAACCTACAAAAATTAGTAGCATTTCTACATGCCAACAGTGAACAATCTGAAAAAGAAATTTCAAAAATAATCCCATTTACAAGAGCTACATATAAAATTAAATACCTAGGAATTAACCAAAAGAAGTGAAAGGTCTCTATAATGAAAAGTAAAATATACTGGCCAGGCGCGGTGGCTTATACTTGTAATCCCAGCACCTTGGGACGCTGAGGCAGGCAGATCACAAGGTCAGGAGTTTGAGACCAGCCTGGCCAACATGGTGGAACCCCATCTCTACTAAAAATAGAAAGAAATTAATCAGGTGTGCTGGCACACACCTATAATCTTAGCTACTCAGGAAGCTGAGGCAGAAGAATTGCTTGAACCTGGAAGACGGAGTTTGCAGTGAGCTGAGATCATGCCACTGCACTCTAGCCTTGGCGATAGAGTGAGATTCCATCTCAAAAAAAAAAAAAAAAAAAAAGAAAGAAAGAAAAGAAAGGTAAAATACGCTGAAGAAAGAAATTGAAGAGTACACCAAAAAAAGGAAAAATATTCCATGTTCATGGATTGGAAGAATCAATATTTTTTTTTAATTTTTTTTTTTTTTAAAGACAAGGTTTCACCATGTTGGTCAGTCTGGTCTTGAACTCCCGACCTCAGATGACCACTCGCCTCGGCCTCCCAAAGTGCTGGGATTACAGGTGTGAGCCACCACGCCTGGCCTAATATTGTTTTTTTATTTTTATTAACTTTTTTTTTTTTGAGACAGACTTTCTGTTGCCCAGGCTGGAGTGCAGTGGCACAATCTGAGCTCACTGCAACCTCCACCTCCTGGATTCAAGTGATTCACCTGCCTCAGCCTCTTGAGTAGCTAGGATTACAGGTGTGTACCACCAGGCCCTGCTAATTTTTGTATTTTTAGTAGAGATGGGGGTTTCACCACGTTGGTCAGGCTGGTCTCGAACTCCTGACCTCGTCATCCACCCGCCTTGGCCTCCCAAAGTGCTGGGATTACAGGTCTGAGCCACCACGCCCAGCAGAAGAATCAATATTGTTAAAATGTCCATACTACCCAAAGCAATTTGCAGATTCAATGCAATCTCTATTAAAATACCAATGACACTCTTCACAGAAATAGAAAAAGCAATCCTAAAATTTATATGTAACCACAAAAGACCCAGAATAGCCAGAGTTATCCTAAGCAAAAAGAACAAAACTTGAGGAATCACATTACCTGACTTCAGATTATATTCTAGAGTTATAGCAATGAAAACAGCATGGCATAAAAACAGACACAGACCAATGGAACAGAATAGAGAACCCAGAAACAAATCCACACATCTATAGCAAACTCATTTTTTGACAAAGGTGCCAAGAACACATGGGAAATACAGTATCTTCAATAAATGGTGCTGGGAAAACTTCATATCCATATGCAAAAGAATGAAACCAGACCCCTATCTCTTGATGTATAAAACAGCTCACACCTGTAATCCCAGCACTTTGGGAGGCCAAAGTGGGTGGATCACTAGAGGTCAGGAGTTCGAGACCAGCCTGACCAACATGGTGAAACCCCATCTTTAAAAAGAAAAAAGAAAAAGAATAAATAAATAAATAAATAAATAAAATGGATTAAAGACTTAAATCTAAGACCTCAAGCCATGAAACTACTGCAAGAAAACATTGAGGAAAACCTCCATGACATTGGTCTGGGCAATGACTTCTTGAGCAATATCCCACAAGTACAGACAACCAAAGCAAACATGGGCAAACTGGATTGCATAAAGTTAAAAGGCTTCTGCACAGCAAAGGATACAGTCACCAAAGGGAAGAGACAACCCATGGAATGGGAGAAAATATTTGCAAACTACCCCTCTGACCAGGGAATAATTACCAGAATATATATATAAGGAGTTCAAACAACTCTATAGGCAAAAACATAATAATATGATCAAGAAACTGGCAAAATATTTGAATAGACATTTATCAAAAGAAGACACAAATGGCAAACAGGCATATGAAAAGGTGCTTAGCATCATTGATTTTCAAATTAAAACTACAAGATATCATCTCACCCCAGTTAAAATGGCTTATATCCAAAAGACAGGCAATAACAAATGCTGATGAGGATGTGGACAAAAGGGAATACTCGTACACTGTTGGTGGGAAAGTAAATTAGTATAACCACTATGCAGCACAGTTTGGAGGTTCCTCAGAAAACTAAAAATTGAGCTACCATATGATCCAGCAATCCTACTGCTGGGTATATACCCAAAGGAAGGAAATGAGTATATCAGAGAGATAACTGCATGCTTGTTTCTTGCAGCAGCGTTTACAACAGCTAAGATTTGGAAGTAACCTAAGTGTCCATCAACAGATGTTTGGATAAAGAAAATGCAGCACATATACACAATGGAGTACTATTCGGCCATAAAAAAAAATGAGATCCTGTCATTTGCAATAATACGGATGGAACTGGAGATCACTATGTTAAGTGAAATAACCAGGCTCTGAAAGGCTAACATCACATGTCCTTACTTATTTGTGGGTATTTGTGGGATATAAATATCAGAACAATTGAACTCGTGGACACAGAGAATAGAAGGTTACCAGATGCTGGGAAGGGTAGTGGGGGATTGGGTAGTGGAGGTGGGGTTGGCTAATGGGTACAAAAAATAGAATGAGTAAGATCTTCTATTTGATAGCACAATAGGGTGACTTATATGGTTTGGATTTTTGTCCCACCCAAATCTCATCTTGAATTGTAATCCCCATACTCCCCATACACATATCTGGGGAGAGACTTGGTGGGAGGTGATTGGATGATGGGGGTGGTTTTCCATATGCTGTTCTTGTGATAGTGAGCGAGTGCTTACGAGATTGGATAGTTTTATAAGGGGCTCTTCCCACCAGCCCTGTGGTGGTGCATGCCTGTAGTCCCAACTACTCGGGAGGCTGAGGCAGGAGGGTCACTTGAGCCTGGGAAGTTGTGGCTACAATGAAGTATGATGATGCCACTGCACTCCAGCTTGGGTGACAGAGTAGTAAGATGCCGTGTCTAAAACAAAAAACAAAGTAAAATCCTTGA